TTGTTTTCTACAAATACTTTGGACCAAGAAGAAGTCCAGAGGGATTTTTGTAAATCACGATTATGCTGGATTGTGGTTTTGCTAGACACTTCCCACTTTTTTAAATTAAAAGAATCTAAAATGGATACATCTGAGTGAGGTATGGAATGATTGAGGCATACTGGCACCTCCAGATACCATTTGGGATCCAGAGCCTACAATCTTTGATATTGTTGGGATCTAGAAGCTTTTACACCAAAGTATCCTGATCTATCAAGGATCCTAAATTAGAGAAGGATGCATTCCATGGACCATGTCAAGAAGCCGTCACTGCAGAAGGCTCTTCTGTAGAAATATCTACAGATTATAAGGGGAGAAAAAAAAAACCGCTCAGGGACCACGCTTCCTGAATTCCTAATTCCTAGAAATTGCCTATCCACCAATGTCTACTACTACTACTACTACTACTACTACTACTACTACTACTATCATTATGCCTTCAAGTCAGTGTTGACTCCTGGTGACTGCCTGGAATAGTCCCTGCAGTTTTCTTGGAAAGATTTTGGAAGTGGTTTGCCACATCCTTCTTCCTAAGGCTGAGATTTGAGCCTAAGGCTGGACTTGTGCCTAAGACGGGACTAGAACTCAGAGCCTCCTAGTTTCTCGCCTGGTGCCTTAACCACTAGACCAAACTGGTTCTCCAATGTCATTACATATTGACAAATCCCTTTTCTCCCTGCCCAAACTTCATTGACTCTCAGCGTCCCATTTCACCTTGTCCGATCCCAGATACGATAGTTTGGTTGAGCATCCCCATAAAACACAGTGCAGAAGAATAGGCTTTCTGAATCCAAGAACATCTTTCTGCAGTAACATGCCAGCCCTTTATTTTCCCCTTTTTCTTTTTAGTACAAGTTCCTCAAAATGTGTTCCCCTTTATATTTAAAGCAGAAAACAGCATATAGTCTTTTCATAGGTTAAACATGGATTATTGGGAGAGAAGGAAGCAAGTATTCTATACCCAGTGCAAAATTCTCTCACCAAAAGTGATATTTTAAGCGGCAAAACAAGTGCTCCCTATATTAACTGCATGGATTTGGAGAGGGAATCCAAGGTTGGTTCATTAAGTGAGCATGGGCAAATCTATCCAAATATTTTATCCCAGCAGTGCAATAGCTACCTCACATTCAGTTCACACATTTATTAAACAGTAATTCTAGCACTATTTTTCTCCAATATTCTATTTTTTTCCTACCTGCTTTTATGGAAATTTCAAGGGGAGCTATGATAGTGTCCATTACTGGAAAAATAAGTTTTTAATCTCTGTAACTTTGTGGTGAAACATGACTGAAGGTATAGAGTATGCTTGCAACTAGGGCTGGAGAAGTGACAACTCCTTTGACTGCCAAAGAGAACATTGTGGAGAAGGTATGAAAAACAAAAAAGCAAAGCTGAACTCTCTACAGGAGAAAGACTACTAGGTGGGAAGTGGTTGTAGTTATCTTAAAAACCTCTTCAAATGAAGTTTCAAAGTTTAGTATAATAAAAATAATACCATCTATCTTTCAAACTTCATTGATGATGATGATGGTTCTCTTCTGAAGATCACTCAGCAAATGATGGTGGTTTAGGATCAATTCAGGTTTTATCAAAAAGCCTAAGAATTGTCCAGGAACTGTTGTAATTTATATATGCTTCCAAGCAAAGCTGGGTTGTTGTTGTTGTTTTTTGTAAGCTAAATGGTGTAAAGTTGAATAATTCTATTTTTTTCAGTTGTTTCGACAATTTTACTAATAGAGCTCCTAAGACTCCTATAACTATTAGAAAAAAATATGCTGGTTTATTCCATAATCTCTATTTCAGTTGTTAAGTCATGATATTTTGCAATCTTTTCCAGCTCCTTTTGAAGTACTCTACTATTATTTGGTATTGCCACATCTATAAGTAAAACTTGCTTTTTTCAGCTACTGTGATGTCTGCTGCATTGTGTTCTAGATGTCAGTCTGTCTGAGTGAAGAAGTGCCATACAATTTGTACATGATCCTTCAGAGCATTTTTTCAATCTTGTGATCACATCAATACTTGAGGACATCAGATCCATGCTTTTTACATAAATTACAATGTGCTGCTTTTGCCACATCATGTTTTGTCTTATAACCTGTCTAGACAATTTTGTTACAGCTGATCATTAGATAGCCAATATTTTTATCTTTCTCTTTGCATAATCTACCTTTCCTGTCGCTTCCAGTTTTTTATTGTATTTGTTGCTAGTACTTATGTTACAAATATTTTTTCATAGATCCAGTCTGAAGCCAATCCCAAGATTTGTTACTTTTTACCTTACCTTCAGTTTCTTTCAGGTACTGACTATACCAAAAATTTATCTTTCCAATTTTTCATTCGCTGTGGTGTTGTAACTGTTCAGTTTTATATGATACTTCATTCAATCACATTCAGAATATTTTCCTGGTAGACATTTTTAGGACTTTCTCTTTGCTTGCTTTTATATAATCATTTAAGCCTCTGATTTCATCCTCCACTATCTGCTTCAGTTGCAACAAACCATGACTACCAATTTTTCTTGTTAAATAAAACAATCTTTGTCACTTTTTGTATGTAGTGGATGATGTAGTAGCCTAGGTTTTTGACCTTGCAATCTAAAGCATTTAAATCAAGTGGAATCCGATCAGTAATACCGTTACTGGGTTACTACGTTAATGGGTGTTACGGGGCCAGCCCATGTATTAAGCCCCTTTGATTGTATTACTGCCAATCACTGCAAATTCTAAAACTTTTCTGACTCATTTTAGCATGTTCAGAAATGGTTTGGACACACAAGAATGTGTTTGCTTTAAAACATCCAAATACTTGTAACTTGTCAATGGTTTGATTTTAGTGCCATTCCATACTAATTCTGCCTGTGTATTCAATTTTTCTTTTTTTTAATTGCCCACATTGTGCATTTATCCAACCCAAATTCCAGTTTGATGTCATCACTAAAGATTTTAACTATATTTAAAAGTGATTTTATTTCCCTGGATGATTTTGCATATAGTTAAATAACGATCCACATAAAGCAGTGTTGTCCAGACTTGGCCCCCTTTTTTTTAATATGGGATCTTTTCTCCCCATTTTCCCCCCCACATACCTCCTTCTGGGTTTTCTCT